AGGAAAATAAAATATTAAGTTTTATTTCAAAAATAAACCGTCATTTTTATTTAACTTTATTTATTCATATGAATAAAGTATTCATTTATCTTTATCTTAAAAGCATAAATTTTAAAAACTATTTATCTTTATGTTTGTAAGTAATAAAATTCCGTAATTCATTTTGTCTTTATTGCTCGAATTTAAGTTTTATTTCGAGTCATTTTATTATAGAGCACCATAGAGATAAGCCAACAACTCTATTTGAAAAAGCACTTGTTATATTCCAATAAAATGGAATAGTTGGAAATAAAAGTATCATATTCCAAGAATTTATTTGTTTGTCTAGGAAATAAATGATGCAGTGGACATCAACTTTAAGATTATAATCTACCGTCTGCTCATTCTTAAGTATTCTAGAAGTAACGTAGAGCAAGAAATATAATTTTGATATAAATTCAATATTTTCAATAAAAGATCTGCAGATAACAATCTATTATCATAGGCGTACTGATTTGTATGATTAATTTATTAAATCAAACTCAAATTGGTTATATTTTAATGATAGTAATGCAGTCTACATGCTAACCTTCGCTTTTGGTTCTGACACACAGTAATGATTATTTTCTGACTTTTTTGAGAAGAAAGTAAACGCGTTCATCTCATAACAGTATCATAAGTAGAAAAGCCAGAAAATGTATATTAATGTGTTTTCAACACGAACGAGTTTATACGCATTTTGGTTTTCGAACGTGTTCACACGCCTTAAAATGTTGCATGTTGGACGCGTTCAAGAGGTATCTTTTGATATAAACCAGTTAGGATGCTGTAAAACTGGAATATAAGAAGTTGCGTTTATTTGTTTCAAACGCGTTCAGAGCTTCAAAAATGTTGTATTTTGGATGCGTTTACACGCATCAAGTTGCATAGCTTGTAGACGTTCAGGGATCCTTTAGGAGTTCAAGCATGAGTACATGGATGATAAAAAGAATATCGTTGAATTATTCTAATTTCAATAAAAAAAGATAGGTTTTCGTATAGCATCTACTAATCAGATCCTTATCGTAAACTTAGATCAGTTTGTATGATTCTGAATCGCTGCACACAGAAATAACGAAAACAAGATAATCATTATCGATTGAAAACTTAAAAGAGATATTTGTGAAAAATTATTCTTCTTAAAATATGTATCATAAAGAACCTTTTATAGAAATATTCTTCGGTTTCTTATTCTAGTTCAAATGAGTTAATAGAAAGCTGATATGTTTATTCAAATGAATTAGAAAAGTCAATTTTTTTTTCAACTACTACCTTCTAAACATAACATAATTACACAATAAAATTTCCTCCAATCACAATATCATTGCAACGAAGATGTAGCATGCCGGACTTGTGGACGCATTTTCACATAGACACAACTTCCTTTTTAAAGTATTTATCCTCACTAACTAAACTACATAACTATATATGTGCAACTGCGTTTCAGAAAACAATGCATTCAAACGCATTTCCGTAAATTCAACAGATTGACAAAAGCATTCAGTGAAACGCGTTTTATCGACACTGTCAATTAAATAGCGTTAATAGAAGAGACACAGCTTCTTTCCACTATTAAACATGATCAGAGGCATAGAATGATATGAATGCGTCCCAACGCGTTTCGTAATAAAAGGTTAAATACATTTGTATGCGTTTAGTCTAAAAATATGCTCCGAAACTATGAATTTTCTCTAAACACGTTTGTGAAACACAGTGATGGGTGCATTTACATGCGCTTTCATCATGCTTACATATGAAAACGCGTTGGAACGCCGAAGATTTGCAACATGGATGAGTCTAGCTGCGTCTAAAATGCGTTTCATGGTTACATGGGTAAACAAGCTTCCGAAGAAAATTCAAAGGAAAAAACGGCAGACACCCTAAATCTTGTGACCGATTTGGGATTGAGATGAATACTGTTAGATAAGGTTTTTACCTTTCAATAAAACTCGTTTCAGAGGCCGAAAACAAATCGAATCAAAGTATAATGGTTTGGGTCGGTTCGACTCTATCCGAACAGAACTCGATCCAGAAAAATCCGGTTTGATTCGGTCTCTAATTTGTTTGTATTCAATAATACAAATATAAACGAATTTCGAAATTATTAAGAGAGAAATTGTACTGATATGTATTTTGTCATGATGTATCTTTACTGATTTGACTAACTTTCTTTTGTTTATACACTAGTTGTCAATAGTGAAACAAAACCTAATTGCATCGAGCAAGTAAATACTTTATTTAAACAATTAACACAAGCATTAATAGACACTGGTAATACAAATGAAACACATTTACCAGAATTAATCTTACGTGATCTCAATCAGATATGTTCTCGTTTGGACGATCGAAAATATTGCAGTGCTTATGATGCTTTAGATACCTTCAAGATTATGTTAAAAAACTATATTAGATTACTTGATACTGATTCGTTTGTCAACGTAATTGCTCATCACTATGCATTAGCAAACAATAGTTTACTTCGTTCACTTCTCGCCATTACACGTCAGTATGATATATCTATATTGGTTCAAGAAATGACACGTAAAACTCAGCAACAAATATTTTTTTCTTTATTTGATTTACTTAATACATCGGCAAGGATTGTTTCTTTTCTTCAAAGCAAATCGTCAAAAACAACAAATAATAGTGACGTTAATCAAACTGTAGCTAACGCTTGTGGATCAGTATTATACGCTATTTTAGAAATCTTAATTAAATTAAGGGCACAGATGACAGGAAATAATTTAGAAAAATATCAAAACACTCTTTTTGCTTCATTTATCATTTTTCTTGATGAATATTTCATGATTAAAAAATGTTCAAGACTTAAAGAGCTACAGAACGATCGATTAATCACAACAATGTTATCATTTATTTGTAACACAGCTGATCAAACATCAACAATTCCAATACTCATTTATGCTAATTGTCCACAAGCATGTTTACGATGGATATCACTTTCATATTTAAATATTGACGAATATTGTTCTCTGATTTGTATTCTACACAATATCGCACGTCATGATG